CACCAGCAGAACTTCATGGAGGTTGGGGCCAATGAAGTAGGTATGCAGCAGCCCTAAGGTACCTGGCCATTCAACTCAGGACTCAGGCTATGAGCTCAGCAGACTCCAGATTTGAGGCCCAAACCGTACCAGCCCGCAGCTTCAAGATGTTTCAGGAGCGACTTCTGACAAAAAAATGTATGTGAACAATTAAAACATATTACAAGAGATGCTGCCAATCACTTTTTGAAGCTTGCTCTGTCAGGTTTTGATTTTCTAAGCCCCTGCATGAGCCAAGCTACCAATGCCCACGAAAGCGCCCAGGAAGCTACACCAAGTCTGTGTCAAGGGTGGAGAAGCTGCAGGCAGTGGCTTGGCGTTGGCGCCCAGAAACTTCATGAAATAGTTGGAAGGTGTGGATTCCTCTGCCGCCTCCGATGGGCACCAGTATTGCGGATAGGTCCGGGCACCCGACAAGTTGTTTGTGATGCAGGCAACGGCCACCATGATCACGGCTCCCAGGAATGATGGGCAGAAGACATACTTGTAGCCTGAGAAGACCACCCCACCACCCCTCTTTTTCTTGCTCAAAGATAAGATGAGAGTGGACCGAACGGTGACCGAACGAGATGGCTCAGTCTGGTCAACTGATCCGAAACCTCAGACCACCTGCAACCTGACCGAGGCATGGCTTCGACTTCCAAGGCACCCAGATGCTGCACCAAGGGGGTTGTGACGTAGATCAAGGCAGTCGCTCCGCCTTGGCTGCTAGACTCCCAGGCGTGCTCCCACAGCGCACCAAGTTCCAGTCCCTCTGTTGTAGATTTCTGGTTCTGCTCGAATACGAAAAGTATCCCCAAAAATGGGAACTTCATTGGGAAACTGATCATTAAACCTTTGGGCCTCTCATCACAGATCCTCAGCTAAACCTGCAGCCAACACGACCGGCAGAATTGATTGGATATCTCCAACTGCCCAAATGTCCAACTATTCATGTCCATTGGATACCCACCACTAGAACGCGCATCGTCCCACCTGGTGGATGCACCGTGCGTGTAATCTCTTGACCCACGATGGTCAGGGAGACCGCCAAGGCGGAGGCCAACCAAACATAGCTGCCCAGTCCCAGGGCTGTCAACCCATCGTGCACCACCACACCCACCAAGCCGCCAATGGTGTTGCCTTGGACGGCCGCAGATTGGCAGCTAGATAATTTCTACGTTGGGGCTGGAAGCATACACCCAAACACACGTCCAATTTTGGGGAGAGCCGGGGGCTCCCAGTCCGGGCAGAGTGGCCGACGATGCAGTTTTTTGGCTGCGCCACGGGCGTCTTGAATCCGCTGAAGAGAATCACTGACATGGCGCCAAAGGATCCCACCAACAAGGGCATGTGGGTCTTGGGAAGCATGAGGTACGCATGCATCAGGCCGATGGCGCTCATGCCGGCGAAAGCACCCAGGAAGCTCCAGGCCAAGAACCTGATTGAGCTGGCCAAGTTCAACGAAAATCAGGTTGTCTTTGCATAGATCCTACCACTAGATCAACTACATCAGGAACATCTACGTAGAACATCTCATGACCATATTCTGCCACCATGTATCCATATGTCTCTGAGACTTCGAATCAAAACAGTTCCCTGGCTTCAACGCCCTACCAACGAATCAACTTCCTGGCGCCGCTTTCGGTAGCTACTTGCGCCGCTGGTCGTACACGTCGTTGTGTCTTAAGCCCACCTGCTTGGCTAGCTAATGTCGCACTGTGTCCCACTTGTCATGCCCTTGACACGTCTGCGACCCGACGTGCTGTCGCAAGCGCCTGCGTGTTCTCGCATTGCGACACCTTCAACAGCAAGGATATAAGTTACGTCGAAGCTCCTTCTCTTCCGCATGTCTTCCAAAAAAGGTAGGAAAGGCCCTGCAAAAGCAAAAGGTTCTACGATTCTACAGCTTCTTTCATTGCCCTGAAATTGGGGAAGCTCCACAATGGCCGACCCATGGATGGCCCCAACTCAACATCCCCCAAGGCAAGGGGCGACGGAGGCAGTTGTGGGGGTGGGCTCTCACCCGCACCTTTCATCTTGGACCAGTAAGTTTCGCACCAGCTGGGATCCGCGGATTCCTGATCAGATTGGGGTGAAGGAAACTTCAAGTAACACTGGAGATGTTTGTATTGAACCCAACACTCCTGCGGAAATTCGAAAACTCTCCTCTTGCAACAATTCCCGGAATAAAGCTAGCCCTGGTCCTTGCTGGAGTCACTGGCGACGTTCACCTCACCTGCCTCCGCATTTTCCATCAATTTCATCTCGGAGTATTTCTGCGTCATCGATCGAATCACTCCGTGCGGATCTGACGCTTCCGAGATCTTCCGAGTTTCCTGAGCCTAAAAAGGCTGCCCAATCGCGTGGCAAGGCACTCGCAATGAGATCCAAAGGGTAACAAAATCTCATGAAAAGACACGGACATGGGAGGACGGCTCGACATGCTCCACCGTGGAGCCGCTCCGCTCCTGCTCCGTGCCTCCCGAAAGAGCTCGAAGCGCTTCGCCTGCATCTTCAAGCGAAGACCCACAGTGCAGCAAGTGCAGCCACCGGCATTGTGCGGGCACCGCACCTCACTCGATCTTCTGATCTGGGTCGAACTTGGAGTTCTTGTGGAAGCCGAAGTGCTCCTGAAAACGAAAAAAACAGCCCTTTTCTTCCAAAACGGACAGCATCGAAACCCAAACTCGGCCCGTGCCTTGGCCCCTAGACCAGCTGCTATTAGCAGCTCCATGGCGACGAGGGTGCGACCGAAGTCGCAATGCTAGAAAATTCAAGGAGTCGGTCGTGGCTTCATGGCCTCTGTGCAGAGGGACTTTGCAGCGGGGCTCACCGCGGGGGCTTGCCAGGCTGGAGTGCCTTCAGCGGCTGTGTCTTGTAGGTTTGCTGGGCCACGCTCGAGGTTTCATGTGACGGCAGTCTCTCCAATCACACTGAAAATCTACATTGACATCATATTGGCTTCTTCCTGTGGCTCGGCGACTCCTGCGGAGTGGCCAGCCTGGTACTGCACTGCGTGATCCGTTGATGTCACGGAAGACGGCTACTAATTTACTAATTGTTCTACCGGCACGGCTGTGGGTTTCCCCCACCTAAAATTTCAAAGCATGCTGGACTTCAAAAGGCCTCATGTCTGTCGCTCAGCCGCGCTTTCATGAGTGCAGGTTTCCAAACTGTACCTACGCGTCTCTAAATGTCCGTCTGAGGCCTTGAATGCGCGTCGAAGCCTTGCGTCCTACTCCCCTGAGGAGAGACAAGGGACCCCAAGCTGAACATGCACCTGAGCAGCTACCAAGCATTCTGACCTTCCTGAACAAAGGGAACAAGATTGGGTTTGCCGTTTGCTCATGCCGCGTCCACTTTTTCCGCCAGTGCCAGTCCTTCTAGGGACGGGTGTTGATTTGCACAGCCGGCTTGCTTGATGACTCACACAGATGTTCGTACCCCGCATCGTCATGGACGAAGCACTTATGTGGTCCGTACCAAGAATGTTGTTCTTCTTGGCTGATCGAACTGTGAAAACAGCATTTGTTCTCGCACCACTGGCATTATATTGGAAAATTGTTCATTCCCAATCTGATACATAGTCACTCAATCTCCAATCATACAAACCATCTCTCGGACTTCCATCTGTTTATCGTGCAGCGGGGGCAAGATGGCGAAACACGGACAGCTTCAGCCCTCAGGCAACCATCATCCCCATCCATTGCCAGGATATTCTCTCATTGTGCTCTGGTGCACGGGCAGCTCCAAAAAATGAGCTCAGACGGGTGTTGATTTCCCCCCTGACATGTTGATTCTTCTCACAACACTGACATTCTCTAACAAAACTGACATGTTTAACAGCCATCTCGCCACATCATGCTCGTCAGTGCGCCGCCGTTTTTCTGATTGGGCGCAATTCTGCGGAAGTGCATCAACGCGCATCCCTGTAGAAGGGAACAGAACGAATCGCTTGGAGACATGCTTCAAGCAAAGAGTCCTGAATGCTCTAGTTCCGGTGCAGTAACGAAAGACACAGTGCTGGCTGGAATCCTTGTTCCCGGTGGAACCCGGACATTTGCCGACCGACAAGAATTCGGGATTCCTTGGCTGGAAACATGCAGAAGCACGCAAGCACATTGCAGGACCAGAGACATGCAAATCTCCCAAACAGGAGCTGGGGTTTCAGGCTTCTCCGAGAAGGCATGCGACCTCACATCACGATGGATGGGTCAAGAACGTGGTGTCCAGACGATTGTGCGAAGCAGCTTGAACTCCAGTGTCTTGCAATCCTCGCTCCTTCGAAGGCATTTCTGCAAGAGAGCCTTGAAACGCGTCGGATGTCTGCCAGCGCTGTGGGCTTTCCAGTCGAACCGTCAAACCTGGTGCACGTGCAACGACGAAGGCACTTCCACGATCCCAGGATCCGGCAAGCTACAGACTTTTTTGCTCCCTTAGCGTAGCTAAAATCTGACGGGATGCTGTTAAGCAGATCCAAAGGACTCGAGAACCAAACACTTCAGGTCGAGCTTGGCCAAGAAGACATCTGAGAAAACGGCAATGCTGAAGAAGACGGTGGATATGCTGTCTGCTTGCTGCGCACTCTGCTGCTCAGGCCAGCGAAGGAAGTGGGATGGCCTAAGACGTTCAGCTATGCAGATCCGATATGCGACCTGCCAGAAAAGTCCAACGCACATCTCGTCCATGCAGAAGCATCGCGAGCACAGACGAGCAGTTGCCTTGTCAGTCGTGCATTTCATTGCAATTAACATTCATCTACTGCCCTGCGTGAGCAGCTTCGACATCATCCGCTTTTTGGCTGGCTCTGACAGCACATCGGCGCCCGCAGAGTGAGCGGACTGGTCAATGTTCCCTTGCTAGCTCAACTGTAGGCGATTAAGGCGCTGAACAACTTTAGTGTAACTCGAACCATTTAGACAGGGGGCTTTTTTTCTCTTTTCAAAGGGGATTGGAAAGCAGAACTGCGACTTCAGTAACAAAACGTAATGCACGACGTGTCGGCTGTGAAGCCGACATATATAGTTAAGGGGCCACTTATGGTAACCCTTTCCAAAACCGCAAATAATGCCACTACAGCCGCTTCTGCCACACTGTCACTACAAAGTCACTACATATGCTACAATGCTACCACAACGTC